CCGTAGGTGAAGGTAGAGACGTAGATCAACCGGTAAATCGAGGGCTTCACTTTTACACTCAACTCTCTCGAGTGCTAGCTGGAGGCCATCACCCGATGAAGCCAACAGAGCCACATAATCTGCGAAAAGCAGAAATGAGATTCTGAGACCACCCAAGTGAAAGCCTCTCACCTCTTGGCTACTCCTAGAAATTCTGTCCATAAAAATTATGAACAGAATCGTTGACAAAAGGCAGCCCTGGCGGAGTCCATCACCCACCAGAACCAAGTCCGAATTATTGCTCGCTATGCAGACCAAGCAGCAGTTGTATAAGGATCAAATGGCCCGTAGGAGTGGGCCAGACCCCCCATACTCCCACAGGACACTCTGAGGGACACGGTTGAGTGCCTTCTCCAGGTCATCAAAACACATGTAGGCTGGTTGGGCAAACTCCCATGAACCCTCAAGTGTCCTCTAGAGGGCAAAGAGCTGGTCCAGTGAACCACTACTTTATCGTGGTGGAGGGGTGTGTCCCAGGGATCCTAGGGGCTATGTTGTCGGGGGGCTTTTGCTCCCTGGTAGGGTCTTGCATAGCATATTGGTCCTGGGTGAGGGACAGACAAAGAGCGATTCAGAAGACCCCTATAAGTATAAAATCAAGGGAACAGTTCACCCTGCCCGGGATAGGGTTGGTGTTGGTGTGTCTATGGCGTTATTTTTGTGCCACTATTCTGAGCGCACGTAAAAAAAAAATATTGTAGGTGCAAGTGTTGCACCTAGAGGAGAAATTTATTTTGAGCGAAGAAAAGCTAAATTTGAACAAAATTCATTGCTGCGTGCAAAAACTGTATTTCAGTGTTTGCTATTATCCACACACACACACACACACACACACAATAGCAGCCCCTCTCGCTCTGGTTTTGCATTTGCGCTTGCTGTTGCTCGCGCTCTCAACATTTCTGCCCGTGCGCGCTCAACTCTTTCTCTACGCTGGTTTTGTGGCACAATCTGATTGGCTGTTCTGGTCTCCATTTCGGAATCCATTTCGTCCAAAACTCAAACGAGGCAGTGGCGGAGGAACACAGAGTGGCGGAGTTTGAAATATTATTCTTTCTGGGTCACAAAACAAACTTTTAAGATATTTTCATGCCAGAATGGTGCTGTGTAAACTTCAAATATCTGCTCGATTTATCAAGACATCACATATTTGCATATTTGCAGGAGTAAGGCACGAGACTTCTTCTGAAAGTCTCGTGCCTTAAACCCTCTAGTAAACAATCTACAGTGCATCCGGGAAGTATTTACTTTGTCCACATTTTGTGATTTGATAGCCTTATTCCAAAATTAATTCAGTTCATTTTTTACCTCAGGTTTACACGCAATAACCCATATTGACAAATGAAAAAAGTTTGCTTGAAATTCTTGCAAATGTATTTAAATAAAAAACTAAAATTTAACATAACTTTTCACAACATTTGCCATGACACTCAGAACTGAGCTCAGGTACATCCTGTTTCCTCTGACCATCTCTCCGATGGTATGGTATGTCATGTTACAGCCTTATTCTGTAACATGACAAAATGTGGAACAAGTGAAGTGCCGTGAACACTTTCCCAATGCACTGTAGGTGCTGCAGTTCTGAAGTACAACGAGAGAGAGAGAAGGGTGTGGCTTGCTCTGAGGTGTTCCTATGGGACAACAAGAACAAAGACTGCAGGGGGAAAAGTCGTCATTCAAGCAGCAAAGTTGTTAAGTACCAGTAAAGTGTGGTGATCAGTGGTCTGATTGAGGAATGTCAGGAACCCAGGCTGAGGTGGTTTATATTTGTACGTTTTATAAAAACAGCAGAATTATGAAATTGAAACATGAATACCCGCACAATCACTAAATATCCAAGAAGTTGAATATATGGGTCCGTAGTGATTCCCAGTGTATTAAAAATCTTTCCACATTATAACTTGATCTACATCATGTCACAAAAGTAGAAAACAAAACGTTGCACATCAAGTGTTGAGATCAGACTGAGGCCTGCATCTCCCAGCCCACAAATCAGTGAATATGTGTACTTAAAAATGAACATTGGAAATTAATATTTTTTTTAAATATATCTGGATAAAAGTGATGTAGATCTCTAACTTTGTCTCTAAAGTCCTTAACGAGCTCAGGTTTTTTGTTTTCCTCACCGTTCTTTAAGTCTCGGGCTGTGTGGTACCAACATGGAGTTACACTGATACCTTTACACTTCATCCAGTGATCCCGACAGCACATGAATGCACATAAAATGCCTCATTTTTTGCAGAGATCTGTAAATGAATGTCATTGCATGAAAATCTGACTTGTAACAATGTTTGTGTTGATGTGTCAGTGTGTGTCTGCACTCACTGGCTCCTATGTCTAGGCTCATTACGTGTGTGCTGAAGACTGGACATTGAAAGAGACAAAGTTTTAGACACGTGTTTGTGATTTATTTGCCCTCGTTATAATTAGTGTTCATATGAGTGTCTGTGTTTATTTTTCCTCATTAAGCTCCTGGACTTCAGTGACTTAGCAGCAAGTCAAATGTCTTAAATGTTTTAATCTGCTTAAAGTTATTGCTTACAAAGTGACAGAATTGTCTGTGATTTTGTTTAAAATAAAGATGAATAGAGCTTGTGTACCTCCTTTTTAAAATTTTCCTTAGTTTTTTTACACATTTAGTCATACATATGTATATATATTTTACCAAAATATATATACATATGTATGTATATATATTTTGGATCTGATAAAGGGAGACATTTACATTACACTTTAGCTAGTAATGACTTCATTAACTTTTTCACGAATAATTTTTAACCATTAGAGAAAAAAATGCTCAATCATCTCACAGATGTAACATTATCTACAGCTACTTTCAGTAACATTCATATTCATTTTTTCTTTTGTCTTTTTCTCCAATTGATCTTTCTGAGTTAACTTCAGTAATTCCTCCAAACCATCAACGTGTCTTTTAGACCCCGTTCCTGCAAGAATGCTCAAAGAAGTCCTGCCATTAATTAATGATTCAATCTTAAATATGATCAACCTATCTCTAATAATCGGCTATGTACCACAGGCCTGTGCTAATGCTCAAATGTAGAGTCTGACACAACACAAAGATGTGTGTCACATGTGTTGGCAACCTTATAATACACTACTTATAAAGGCACCAGGAGAGTGGCCTACAGCTGAGAGCATTTCCTGTGGAGGGTAGGAAATGTAGGGAAAACCCTAGTGATTGCACAGTGGTTGCCCATCTTTTATATGTACAGTTATGTGCAAAATTATAGCAGTTTAACATTACTAATGTGTTTAAGCACTGATTTTGGCAGAAATGATGAAACAACATGGGAACAAATTCATCACTAGGTGTAGCAGAGTAATAGCCAACCAACAGACTTAACGCACATGGCATGCATGCTGCTAATTGGGGATAATTGACTCATTTAATGAAAGGGATGTATTCAAATTAATAGCAGTGTGGAGTTAAGTTAGGGAGGTCATTCAATCTGTGAAGAAATGGGTGTCAGTTATGGCCTTTATTTAAGAAAGGAAGGCAGCAGATGCTGTACCTGCTGGTTTTAGCCCTTTGCTCAGTGAGTAAAATGGGTCGTTCCAGTTGCACTGAGGGAAGAAGAACTTTGATCAAAAAGGTTGATTGGAAACAGCAAAGTGCCTCATTTCATTTTCAGTTTATACTGTAAATGTTCCAGAAAGGAAAAACAGTTCATGTTTACATTTGGGATTGAATGTGCACAGCTCCCAGTGCCTTTGTACTGTGAGGTTATTATATTATCTTATGCCACGTTATACCCCTAATTAAAGATTGTGAAATTATTATGTAGTTTTATTTCGCATTATTTTACTGAAGAGGTGATAACTATTAGATTTATTAGACTGATTTGTATTATATTAGACTGCTGGTTTATGGTGAATGAATGATATTGTTTTATGATGCATGATACTGCTGAGTTATAAGAAATACTGTTTTCAGAGAATCATGGCCTTATTTTTCTGATTACAAAGAGAACAGAACATACCGTAGAGGTTTTCTGCCCCATCTCATCAGGAGAAGGCCGTCACTTAGGCGCCATAATAGAGAAAGCATGTGGATGCTTAGTTTGGAGGGGGGCTGAAGCTATAAGAATGTGAGAAACAGTCAGACACGTTGAGATCAGGCGGACACCGTGCTCATTTCCCCTCCAGATGGTTAATGCTCAAAAGTGTTTGTATGGAATAATAAGAATTGTATGAATGAAAGTAATTGTTGATTGAGCATTTATACACCGAGTGTTGCTCATCCTTTAGCCCAAAGATCAAAGCATTGGATTATTTAACAGTATATATGGAAATAGGTGCTGTTAGTAACATGGAATTTTTCATCTGTTGCTTTAACACACTGCTATTATTCTGCACATAACTGTATATATTCTGTTATTGGAGTCATCACCTTCAGCGATGTCACTGTGGTATATAACAAGAAAGATTCAAAGAAACAGGTCAGTATACCATCTCATTAGAAGTGACCTTTATTTACATATTTCACAATGTACGTCTGAAAGCAGATGAAAAAGAGGTAAATGTGGGAGGAGAAAAGCAGGATCAAAATGCTTCACCTATTTCAGTATCTATTGCATAGTTTGAGATGATTGAACTGAATACCTTTCTAATATTGTGCTCCCTATTCCCAGCCCAACTGCTTGACACCAGAAACAACCCAGAGTCAATCTAAAACCTGCTCCTGGTTACCTGTGGGAGCCCAACACTCCCAGAATCACACATGGCCTCTAACTTCACACAAGTGTGTGTGTGCACATTGCAGAGGTTAACAGTGTGACAGCTCTCAGAAATCTCATGAAACAGTATTCACGATGTTGTCGTCGTGTTTGTTGTGCAAACATAAATCCAATGGCAGTTTGGGCTCTGCTATTCAGCTGTACAATTGTTTCATGTGTGCTGTCAACCCAGAGGGTATCACATTGTTCTGTGTGATCGAAACGCATGGTGCGAAATTATAAATATAACTTATCTTAAAAGCATAATTCTTTTAAAAGCACCACCAATGGTTGAAATACAATATCGATGAAATGTTGACCTCAAGTCAGATTACACACACACGGTTTCTAATATCGCACAAACATACAATGCTTTATTCAAGTGATGAGTTGCTGGTTAACCATGTTTAAAAATGTCTTTATGTGCAGATTTTTGACCAATTTCATAAACAGCAAGGACTGGTAACGCCTGTCTAGGGATCAAACCTTGCTACCTTATGCTGGTATGATTATCTAGGAGGGGGACAAAATATCAGCAGCTACGAGTACTTACTGTACTGCAGTAATTTTGTTCTCAGACCTGCCCCCCTTCAGAAGCTAAAGAAAGATCCCACACTACAATTTTTATCAGTCATCACAAATAACAAAGGATCCACATTGTAAAAGTGAGAGTGTAGCATCACAATAAACACAGTAAAATCACAGTAATTCACTTTAGTTTCATGTCATATTTTTCACCTGGTGGGCCACACATCACTTATCGTCATCGATTGATATTTATTATATCTTTAAGGACAATTTTACATTAAAGCAAGCAAGTCCTGTGGATCTGTGCCTCTCCTCGCTTTATTTGTAATTCCACATGCATGAACTTTCAGATTTTGCAGCAACTATCATAATTTTGAGAAGCTGAATCGCTTAAACACTAGATTCAGTACCTGGTCCAAAATAGGCCACACCTGTTAACGTTTGAATTCAGGTGAAAGAACAGGTTAAAGAGCTCCCGAATTCAAGCATTGTACTGCAATGGGATGCCAGCGCAACAAGTCAGTTTGTGAAATGTCGTCCCTCTTAAAAATTCCACGAACAACTCTAACTCGTAGAATTCTGACTTTTTTCAGAATTCTGACTTAACACTCAGAATTCTGAATACTGAGTTTAAACTCAGAATTTCGAGTTTGAGGACAGAATTCTGACTTTTTTCAGAATTCTAGTTCCACTATAACCAGTTATAGTGGCTCCATGTCAAAGTGGTTTACGCATCTGTCTGTCAAGCAAAAGTTTGATCCTGGGAGAAAATACACAAAACTGTTTGGGGCCCACCAAATCAAATGTGTGTCGCTACCTGAAACAACCTAAAGTAGATTACTGCAGTTTTTGCTGTGCTTGTGGGTTTCCTGCTTCTTCAGCAGTGAATGAGCTACAGCCTCAGTACATACTGTGCTGAGAGTACCTACAATACCAAAAAGGGGGGGAAAAATCACCTTTTCCAAATTTTCGTTATATTCAGCCATAATTATTCAGAGTATGTGTCAGAATATGTATACAGTGAGTCTGGAATATCATTAGCATACCGAACAGTGAATGGTTTGACAAAAGGCAATAAGGAAAGGTTCTTATCCTGGTAAATGTACAATATGTCTTTGATGTCATCACAAACCATGAATTAGTGCTGTGACACTGTGTGTTACACTGAACATGACTTTGGACAGATAATATTGTAGATCAAATCGTGGTGCCCTGCTCAGTGCTGACACTGATGGGCAAACCATATTATGCTCACAGACAGGTTCATGTGAACTAATGAGCATGTCCCAGTGTTCAAAACACTACTTAGAGCATCACTTGTTTTATGTTCTTTGTGTGCAGATTGTGATCAGCTGCCTTGTGCTGCTGCTGGCTCTGAGGTTTACTGACCATCGTGGTTTTAGCTCGATGCATTCTACAGCATATAATGTTGCATGGTTCCTGTACACTGTGCCCCAATACTGCTAACGGCCCATTTTAGCGTGCACTTACTGTCACATACAACCTTTAAAGGAACATCACTCAGTGTGAAATAACCAGATAAAACACAGTGTCCAGATCCCCTGCCTGATTAAAAAAATATAACACTAGCAGGGCATGCATGCTTCAACATGTAGGACTGATGGACATTCGGCAGCATTTAACTATTTAACACTCAGAGACAGCCTGAGAGCTGCCCGCCACTCTCATGCAAACACACTGAGCCAGTAAATGAATTAAAACCACAGCATCAATAATACATAATTCCATTTATCTTCATCATCAGGTACCAGAGGTTGTGCAAGAATAAATCATTTGAACAAGCATCAAATCAAATTTTACTGCGCATAAATAATCAAGAATTGCTAAATAATAATTTAGGTCCATGTATTTTATAAATTTGCAGCTCTAATTTTAGGGGTTTTAATAAAAATGTGCAAACTAAGGATTGATGCATGTTGCAGCAATGTTATGGAAAAATGAGCATCGTAGCAAAAAGCTTGTTAAATAGAGGAAGGTCACATTTGCAGAGTATATGGACCATTAACCTCCTCAAATAAGATGAATGCAAGTGATGGTTTCCTAGATGTGCCTGTGCTCTGCACACACAGTGACTCAGCAGGTCTGACAGAGGATAGAAGAGCATCGCTGCTGCACCATCCGTCACACAGCCATGGAAAATGCTACCATCCACATCCTGCATTCAGCAGTTCTGAACTGGCATATGTTGTTGCAGTGGTTATGTTAGTGTTCTGGTGTGCTGCTGTGTCTTTTTTCTGCTTTCACTGATACACTGCTAAATCTGCCTTTGTGTTGTCTGACAACCTGACAGTCTGTAAGAAATCAGGCTAGACTGAATTTTACGATGATGGAAAAGACATATCACTGCTGTCCCACAGACACACACAGTACCATCTTTTACTTTAAACTGGGATGTAACTGTTTTAATTACCTGACAAAGAAAGGCCAATAAATGTAGTCAAAACAACAGAACCCAGAATGATGTAAAACTGAACGCATACTGACCCCAACCAAGCTTGACTTTTGACTTCGACAAAAGCACAGACGAGCAGTCAGACACAACAAAAAAACACCTTGTGTGTTCTTGTGTCAGTGGGACTGCGGGCTAAGGTATATGTTAACTTAATGGTGTACTACAGGCCATGTTGGTGAGTAATGCAAAATTAATGTAGCGAGTAGCATGACAAATGATGTGATGCATGACTTTTTTGAATGAGTACACAAACACTGCTCCCAAAACAACAGTAGGTGTTCCTGTTCTTACACATGTGCTGCTCTCAGGCACACACATTTACCCAAAGAGCTCATCTCAGTGTAACTCAGAGAAGTGACACGCCCTCTCGTTTGTCCTCGCACTAAGAATCGACATCTGACGCTGATGAAAAGAGTGAGAACATAAATTGTGTTGAGGCGAAACTGTCACTGCTTTCAGGAAAAGGAGCCGCTGCCTGCTCGTTATGTCTTTACATGACTGGGAAAAACATCTGTAACATAAAATGGATCGTGATCTCATCGGTATGTAAAGAGCTGTTGCACTAAAATGCTGGCTACAGAAGGCATTTTCTAACTGACCTTTTTATAATTATGGAGCTCGCTGTCAGTATTTTCAGTTTTCCTAATAGAAGAAGAACCTTTAAAAATCAAAATGTTGAATGCACATGGCAGTTTCTTTTTCTGAGCGAGACACTGAATGAAACCTCCGACTTACTCCGTCCATCCTCACTTATCGTCAGTTCAGAAAGCTGGTACATACATGTGGATTCAGAAAAAGGAGGCCTCAGATGAATGTGTTTGTGTGTAGTGTGAGCTAGAAAGGAAATGGTGAATGAGTGACTGGTTACTGTGCTTTTTCAGTCTTTTCCACATGGGAGGAGAGTGTGTGTCTTCCAGTTTTTACATCAAAAAACGCTGTCCACTGGCACGTGTCCCTGTGTGTCTAAACATCCTGATGATTCAGCCTCAGTGCCACATTCCCTTATTTCGTTTCATCCTCGAGTCCTTGCAGACATCACTTCTTGTCGCTGTTTTTAAATATTTGTTCGTAGGATGGTGGAGGATGGTTGCAGTACGACGGAGGTGGCGGATAGGAACCCATCATCATGTGGGTGGAGCCAGGCTGTGGCGGGTACGGCGGGTGTGTCACGGTAACCCCTGGGTCGCCTCCTGCCAATCCATTCACCCCGAAGCCCTGCATGCTCCCTGGCTGCTGGGAAACTGCAGGACAAGAGAAAAGAAATGATTCAAATGCTTTTCCTTTAAAATCTCAAGTTGAAAAATAGGTGCTCTGTTACGACAGCATTCGATTTCATTCTGGTATTCATATGTTAAATATCCAAAACCTTTTTCACATTTACTATAAACAGTAGAGCTCAGCCATCAAAGAACTCAGTGCATCTATCCATGCCCCATAATCATGGTAAGAAAGTGACTTTTTTTTTTTTTGAAATTCTTGAAAATGTGTTAAAAATCAAAACTAAAATATAACAGGTACAAGTACATAAACTGGTCTCATCTTCAGTGTTATTGTTATTCCTAAAACTCTCTGATAATCAGTAAGGATAGACTGCCAGTACCTCTGAATACCACTTTATTACTCACTGAGCAGAAATCCTCTCCATCGATCGTTTTTCACTACCACAGTTACATCACTGATTCCTTATTTATCTTTCTGCCTTCAACCCAAAGCCTTAAACAAACAGGGTGTCAGAGAAGATTAGAACAAGCAGGCTGAGATGCTGACTTTACTTTGGAGTTCATCAGAGAGAAAAACGAGTAAAAACGTCCTCGTCCGGGTCACCGTTTCAGAGAGTTTGACGCTGTGCTATTATTGGAATGTTCCACTTAAGTTTCTGCTTGGTTGACGGACACAAAGTAAAATTCCATCCATGTAAAATCATGACAAGAGTTTTAACAGCTGCTCTGCTCTCAACCAAAGTCTCATGTCTGAACTACATAATGTTGAGCATAATGAACAGACTTGGAAAAGTTTAGGGGACATAAATGGGACACGCCAGGGTTTGTTTCTGCAGTGGTTGGATTTGATGGACCAAAGTGATTTCATGAAGTGTTCCAGGAGAAATCTCCTTTCGATCACAGCATGATCTCTTAGAGATAGGGTGAGGAGTTCGGCCATCCGGGAGGGCTCAGAGTAGAGCCGCTGAACCTCCACATCAAAAGGGGCCAGTTAAGGTGATTTGTTCGTGATTTGTGCCACCGGGAGGAGGCCCCGGAGCAGATCCAGCTCACGCTGGAGAGATTATATCTCTCAGCTGGCCTGGGAACACCTTGGTGTTCCCCTGGACAAGCTGGAGAAGGTGGCTGGGGAGAGGGAGGTCCGGACTTCTCTGCTTAGGTTGCTGCCCCCTCGACCTGGTCCCGGATAAGCGGAAGAAGATGGACGCGATTGATCTTCTTTCGATGTAAAGGAGACCAAAAAGATGCTTCAAAGAGATGCGTAAGAGGCCAGCTAGCATGCATCCAGCAAGCCAGCAAGCATCTATCCTTGAACACCATGCCGATGTGGTGAAGGAGTGAGTACAAGTACCTGGACGCCCACTGGAAGACCAGCGCAGACTGCATACAAGAAGGAGATCAGCAGACTGTCTTTGCTAAGGAAGCTGAGGTACTTCAACATGTGCAGTAAAATGTTGGAGATTTTCTATCAGTCTGTCGTGTCTAGCATCACAGCTGGCAGCACCCAGAGACTGAATGAACTAATCAGGAAGGATGATTCGCTGTAAACGGTGGTGAGGAGGGCAAAACTGTTAGCTTGGACAAGCTTGACCACCCACGGCACGTTTTCTAACAGAGTGATTCTGGACAAGATAAGGACAGATATCAGAAACGTTCCTCCACTGTGCAGCACATCAGTGTTAACATTTTATTTCTACTTTACTTTGTTGATTTTTAAAATATTCCACATACCAATGAATTTCTCTATATCATGTTATTATTATTTTATTAATAATGACAATAATAATAATAACATACTGTGTGATGTCTGCCTGAATAGCTTTTAAAAAGGAAACCATGTTTGTGCCTGTTTGTCTCTTATGCAAACATTCAGTTCTTAGGGTGCCTGTCATATCCACTTCCCTCATATCGGACTATAAAGTATACTTCGGCAGTCCAGATGGCTTTTATCTACGATGGCCTTTAGAGCTCATAGAGTAATTACATGTTAGCATAAGTACATGTTAGTCACACCACTGCGTTCATAAACAGAGCCACACGGCTGCCAAACTTTAATAAAAGAAACATGTGCAGAATGTTTGAGTTAAGTGTGCTGGTCCTCAAAACGTGGGCCTTGTACTTTGGAGTACGTTTGATGCAACCATGTCTTCTTCTTCTGACTTCACTTTCTCACACTGTTCAACTCAACGGTTTTCCATGGTAAACACAAATCTCACACCGTTTTAATTTTTCTTTTTATTTAATATGAAGTTTTACTGCATCTTAGTTTGTCACTCTTGTCTGTGCACCTGTCACAGCCTACTGTACCTGGTGTGGTAACAGGGTGCCTAGTGAAGGAGACATTGAAGGCTGGCTCGTCTCTCAAAGGAGACGGGTACATCCTTCTGCGAATGAAGAAGCCTGCACCACAGCAGAACAACACTCCCATCATCAGCAGCACCCTGAGAAGAAAACAAACATATCACTGTAACTACAGGAGTTCCGGCTAAAATCAGAATGATGACGTTATGTGGCAAACTATCCAGCTAGCATGTCAACACTGACATGACTTTGCTACCAAAAAATGTTATTAAGCATGAAAGCTACATTTGCTGTTTCTAAAAGACATCTCTGATGTTATGAATATGTTGTCGGTCATCATTCCATTTATTCACTTTCTGCTGATTCGGGTTGGAGGCTGGAGTCTGAGTAGACAAACCCAGACTACCCTTCACCTCACCCACCTCTTGCAGCTCATCCTGGGGGGACATCGAGTTGTTTACTGTCGGGATTTAGCTGATCGTGGCAATTAGGACCCACGAGCAGACTCACAGACTCCCACAGGCAGACAAGATTAAACAGGAGACAAGTCCTTTAATAAAGGCTGATGCAAGGATACAAAATAACTCCAAAATACAAAGGAAACAATAACTTCACTAACAGAAATCTATAATGAAAAAAAAAAACAATAGAGACACTAGCAAATAGATATTTGGAAGCTAGGAGACAGAATATTTGAATAACCACTAAAGGTCCAAAATTATAGAGGCACTAGGAAAAAAGAAAAATTCTAATAAAAAGTCCGTGACAGCTTCCTAGGTCTGCCTTGAGGTCTACTCTCTTAACAACACCCCAGACATCCCATACTCCCTCAGCACCACCCCACAGGATAGTCCAGATAACACAGGCAGACTGGTTAGGAAAACACCCTCAAATATCCTTGAGCTGGTCCAGTCCTCCTGACTCTCCTCTCCTGTATCCTGGCACAGACCAGGGAGGCTGAGAAGTGCGACTCCCCCTATAGATAGAGCACACCTTCCATCCCCCCTTCTAATAAGGAGGGGCACCACCCCAGTCTGCCAAACCAGAGGTGCTGAGACTTGTCAGCCAAAATAAAGCCACAACACCCAAAGCCTCAAGGGACTAAGGGAGAGCCCCCCCCCCCGGGGAGTCTGATCCTATGAACTAAGAGCTGTTTTATAATAGCCAGATTTTTTTAGCCACTGGAAAAACATCTAGTTAAGTCTCTTAGCATCCACCAATCACTTAGGGATAGGGTTAATAGATGGAAGTCTAAACAGCTCGCCAGCAATCAGGCGGATGTTAAGAAGTCAAATTTCAGAATGGGAAGCTATTTTTAACTTTTATTTAAAAAATGATTTCTTCCTCTTAAAAAGTTTGTAGCGAGACCTTTGATCTTTTCTCATTTTCAAAAACCTTGGAGCTAAACATATCTTTGCAAAGCAGTTGCTGCAACATTATGCTAACAGAATAGCCACTGAAATGGTTGCTGAATGAGACCAGCATGCAGTATATTTGTACACATAAGTGGTGTTTATATGTGCAAAGGTTAAAAACAGACTTTTTTTTTTTACCAGTGTAGAAGAAATTACTCTAACAGTGATGAGTACCTGCTGAATTTTGCTTGATAATTAAATAACTACACAGTCTACTGTAGTCTGTAACTGACACAAACCCAGTGTGAAGTTCTACCCACTGTGCTCAATAAAAGCAGAGGACACAAAATGATGCTAAAAACAAATTACAGCCTCTTGTTTTGCCTGTGATTCAGTCAGCCCTATGTCGAATGTGTGCGCCAGAAGTCACCACTGAAAGAAAGCTCAGTCCACATATGCTGCACATTCAGTGTAACCACAGGGTAAAGCTCGTTAATATAGCTACACCTGCAAAACAAAATGGTAAAAATGTGCACAAGTTTATGATTGTGTTATTTGTTTGTTTGGTCTTTGCTCGTTTTCACAGCTGTGCACACATAGTAAACCCAACACACAGTAACTCACCAGAAGTACCATAGTCTTTGGATGGACAGGGCTCTCACACAGCAGCGAGTCCCACAGCAGTCCTCGTAGGAACGGCATCTGCAGCAAGTCACACGGCAATGAGTCAGCAACAGCATGGAGCAGTTAGCCTCTGTTATTGTTTTACTGTTTAGCTACTTGGGAGTGGTGAAGTTTCTGCTGAGGTGCAGGCGTCACAGAGAGAAAATACTGGGAGATGATAGAAGATTACAATACACAGTGTTTGAGCCATTTTCTTTCAGACCACAAACAAACCTTTAACCAGTGTGCCTGGCACTAGGCCAAGACTACTGAACAACAGTGAGAGTACAACTATTATTGTTAACGTTTTAAAACCCTCCTTTAAACAGCTCCCCGGCTGCTCTGCTGGCTCTCGCACCATTCGCGCTGTCTTCTCTGCATCTTTCCCCTTTTCCTTTGGTGGAGTCGGACTCATCCAGAGGAAACATTCCTGTTTACCCTCAACTTTCTCAAGATGTTTGTCCACTTATCCCATTCCTTCTTTTCTGCACCTGCAAGCTACTTTGCAACCCACCTCTATCTTTCTTGCTGTATCTGACCTCAGATATATATCTGCTGTCATCTGATCCAGGATTTTACTGCAGCTCTCCCAGACTCTGGCTTTCCATGGAAGGGTGAGAAGAAGAACTCTACATTTCATTTATGGCCTCGGTAGAGTGTAGAACCATGCCACCAAATATAAATTACTACAGATGGAAATATCATTCTTAACTTATTATTAACTTCCAGTCAAATTTTTTTATATAGCAACAGATTACTACAACAGTTGCCTCAACCGTTAAGTAAAGACCTTACAATAACACAGAGAATGCCCCAACAATCCAAGGACCTCCTATGAGCAAGAACTTGGTGACAGTGGGAAGGAAAATCTTCCTTTTAACAGGAAGAAGAGATCGCTCCGATACAGCACGTTTCAGTATTTTGGCGTCATGAACAACAACTCGAGTTATAAGATAAATACGATTTAGCCATCTCACATTCTTTCTTCTCAACAGGTGAGTGAGTCCATAGTTTTCAGTCTGACACTGGTGGAGCCCAAGTCTCCTCTTACAGACAGATTTCACCTCTTTGAAATCAATTATTTATTCAGACTTGGAAGCCAAGCAGTTGCTTTCAAGGGTAAAAGCTCTGCAAGTACAGAAGGAAGTTGATGATGGATGGAATGTCTTCCTTTTTATTGTAATGGTTGTGTTGAACTTGTGTGTTTTTGAGCTTATTGTCTCCAGTAATTAGGACATCAGAGAAACTCCATATAACTCCAGAGAAAAAACATCTCTGCCAGATATTTTAGTTGTTCAACTGCAAGACAGTTAAACACTGTTTTTACCTCAGTGTACTACAGAGCTGAGGAAAAACTGTCCTGCCACACACAGTAAATCACATTAGTCTGTATGTACAGTAACATACTTTTTTTATTGCAGTACAGAGAGTCTCGCTACAGTTCCCTGACATTTCCACCATAATTTGCAATACACCCAGGTGTATTTTTGCATTAATCACACTTTCTGCTTGGTAAACAAAATTTAAAGAAGTTTCCCTTTAACTGACAACCCAGCAGCCTGGGAACAGTCAGGACAGAGGCCAACTGTGGTTGACCAGTCTGAGAAGTGCAGCAGGAAACTGGAATTAATGCAGCTGGAAAAAAAAAGTTGTCTGCAGTGCGTGTGTGTGCATGTGTGTGCGATAGATGACTATGGACAAATCAGCATGACCTCTCATGCTGGGATCTCCCATTCCTAGCCCTTCTAGCATTTCAGCGCTAGAGCTGGGAGGCTAATCAATGTCCGCAGATGCTGCAAAGCATGCAGCGAGCAGTGTTTGCATCACACCAGATAAAGTTGATGCCAGTTTCTGTCACACTCCTTGTGTGTAGGTAGCATAATATTTATACTCTCTATGCATTGGCACAAAACATTTTACCTAAAAAAGGGTTTTTGCATCACTACTTACAAAAATACTGATTCCATCACATATAAAAATTATTATTATTATTGTTGACACTTCAGTTATCATTCTGTTAAGGTTTGAGGGATATTACAGTTTCCACAAAGATTTAAGAGGTGCGAACAGGAAACATAACATCAGGATCAAATCTGTAGGCCAGAGGCAGTTCATTTACAATTAATCCCACTGTATAGAAATTAGTGGCTGTTAAACGATGACAGTACATCATTAAACATAATAAGATAGCATTCGATGAACAGAAATTAATGGAGTGAACAGCCCAGGTAATGAATGATTGCAAAGCTGCAGCGAGGTGCTCGGGCTGCATGCACAGCCACTGCAGCCGTTACTGCTTCTCTGCTGAACAGTCAAATCGCTTGGATTTCCACAGTTTTTAGAACATCAGCAAGAACTAGTCACCACATGCCACGCCTCTGCCTCATGCTTCTCCATGCACGCCATGACTTGTGATGTAAAAGTGAAGTTTTAGTTTTGAAGTCCTAATTGTCAAATATTCTCCCAAAGTCATTTTCATTTTTTATTATATAAAAACAGTAATGCATGAGAAACTCATTTTAGGGTAACACATTTAATCTACTAACATGTTTTAATCTCATTCTTTTACAAACATCTCAGACCTACAAAACGTTTACACATGAAAAGGATGGTCAGTGACCACAGTGGACATCCAAGGGTTGAGCTCATTGGTTTAAAAACTTACATGAAGTAGATGGGGTATCCACCTTCGAAATACCAGCAGTACTTTTTCGCCTCTACACACTGTAAAAGAGAAAAAGGTGATGATTAAAAACTTGCAACTCTTTCCAACTCACAAAATGAAGCTCAGTTAGCAGCAGCAGCTCTTGCTGGGTTCTCAATTTTTCAAATGGTCTTAAACCTTTGATCGGGAGTGTATTATGTGTGGTGTCGAGCAGGGGGTAATTAATGTTGCCTGAGCAGTACAAAGAAGTTTGTAGCTGGGACATTCCAGCCAATAGCTGACAAATGAGGGCTTAGTAACATAAAAAATCAAAAGGTAATAAAATGATTTATAATAAACTCCATTCACTGCAAAGTAAAATGGGTTCTAGTATTTACAGATTCACTGACTGGTGCTTAATCGTGGAATATTCCACTCTCATGCTAGGGTAAAGCTTCTTACCCCTAGAAAAGATCCAGTGTGTTCATGGACTCATTTCCTGCTCTTCCCATGAGAATAAAACCATTTTAAATTGTATTGGAAAGAGAGAGCCTCGGACGGTTTTAAAAATATCTTTAGCCTTTGCATATCCCTTCCAAAGAAAACCTGAAATAGAGTCCAGGAAACTGCTTCTCAAAAACAGCTTAAGAAAGTCACTCTGTGTATACACATTGTGGATGAAAGATGCAGAGACATTTTCACTGTGACTAAAAACCTGAAACACGGGCACCAGCTTGGCTCACTGGGAGGGGCGGGTGGCTGAGATCGGTCGGACCTGTTAAAAGGGATGTTTTTCTTCCCACTGTCGCCAAAATGCTTGCTCACAGGATGATTGTTGTTTTTTCTGTATTCTCTGTATCATTGTATGGTTCTTACCTTACAATATAAAGCGCCTTGATGCAATTGTTGTTGTGATTTGGTGTCATATAAATAAAACTGTCTCTTATCTCACATTCATCTAGACAACATAAGCCTTTATGACTCAGTAAGCAATGTCAGTCACCTCTGGCATGAGGGATATGAGTGTGAAATAACAGAACTATTCCACTGTTATATCCTGTACAATGGAAGAAACAGGAGAAAACTACAGTACAATTTATGACATTATCAATCTGAAAGTGTATTTAAGATATTGCTGGAAAAGGAAATGCGCAATTTCACAATTTTTAACTTTGTTACCATCTATTCACTTGTATTTGGACCTAATTCTCATCCTGTCTTCAACCCTCTGCCAGCCATGAATACAATCCAGCTCTGTTCATTGTCTTTCTCTAATTAGAGCTGGTTGGAAAAGCTGACAGTGGAGAAAAGAGTCCCTCTGTGCTCCCACAGGACAAAAATGACCATTACGCAACCAGAGGATGTGTTTTCTTGCTTTAAAAGCAGCTCAGATGGCTTTTGGATTGAGGACGCCGGGAAGGATGAATAGTTCAAATGGTTGTATGCTGCACTGAAAGCTTTTAGAAGCAGCGAAAGTGTTCGGGATGATCAGAAAGGGAAGAGCTCTGCAACAGTCGGACATCCGAGAACACCACTTTGCTCCAACACAGAGCCATCAATCTCATTTGAATTTTGCTCACTCGGACTGTGTTGCAAAAATTTCCTGATTAGACATAAAGCAAGAAAAACTTTCTTCCAGTACTGATATGAAAATAGCCACAGAGAGCTTATGAATGTTGTTGCAATAGTCATACTTGTCTTCAGTTTTTCAACTATTTAATTAAATCTAATATTTTGTTCCATCTCTTCTAATCCTCTATGTCCTCGGTCATGGTCCAGACCCAGGCTTCTTTGTGGAACCAGACCTTTTACTAGGTTTTGATAAACCTAAATTTCTATATTACTCTGCACAACTTTTCCTGTATATACACAGGATACTAAGTCAAGCTTGTCAGCCATCCAAAGCATTTATTCAGAGCACATGGGAAAGCAGAAAACTCCACAAGGACACGAGATACTGAAGTCCGATGAAGTCAGGGAACCAGGAAGATTAAAGCTGAGATGGTTTCCATGTGAAATGTAGAAAAAGAACATTTCAAACTTCACCTTTTCCAGCGCCACTTCACATTGGGGTCCACATATCATTCACCGCATGACACACTTGAGGACTTTTACTGTTTTAGTCTGTACTAAGCTCTTTGCACCCATCTCCATCATATACCCAAAACTATAAGGAGCCATCATTTCTACACTCACTAACCACTTTATTAGGTACACCAGTTGAACTGTTCCCTAATCCAATGCACCCAACCAACATGAAACTCAACATGTCAACAAATTTGGAGCAACTGAGTGATGCTATCATGTCATATAAAGTAAAATCTCTGAGGAATCTTTTTAAATCTATGCTATGAAGCCAATTCTAAAGACAAAAAGGGGGCTCCAACTAACTACTATTAAAGTGTGCCTAAAAGTGCCAGGTTAGCAAACCTGGGGTTGAATTACTTATCTTTGTTAGTTTATTGTGAACAACTAGCAACAATCAGAACGTTAAGTCTAGGATCTGGTTGCAGTCCTATCACATCAATCAACAGTATTGACCCCACGGGTGTTTCCTTAACTGCGCCAGTTCAAAGTTGATATTTGCAGAACCTGGTACCACCCATTTGGTTGTTCCCAAATCCCAACAACTGCTCATACCTAACACCTGTTTAACTTCTTCTTTATGTTTATGTCAATAAAGGCCGTGAAGCCCACTCAAATCTGAACATCATACAACAATAGAGGTCACAATTAGTTTCTAAGCAGGTGAAATTACCATGTGTCACACAACTGAGTGGCAGTGCCTTCATATTGTTATTATAGCCACAGATGCATCCTTTTCTGATCAACACGTGGTCTCTTTCTAAAACAAACTTGGAAATTTGCCTATTAATTGAAAAACTAGATGGTGTAGAGATGCTCCAGGATAGGCAGAGATATGGAGACACAAACAGAATTGTCAGTTTTTTGTTAAAGACGATGCTTATGTCGCCCCACCAAATAAAACTGAGGTATGAGTAAACACATGGCCAAAGAAGTTAAGCTATGAGCCATAATGGGAATATGGAGAATTTTTGCATCCATAAACTTTTGAGTTTGGCAAGAAATTACAGTATGTTAGCTTCTACAATATGACTTGCAATATTGTTGATGGTTTACAAGGGCAACATGAGAAAACTTCTACGGTCCAAATACTCTACATAGACTAATATAGTCTATTTGGAGCTCGAGGTTTTCCCAGAAATCCACAAAACAAACTCAACTCAAAGCAAGAAGTTTTCAATCCGTTAGGTAATACAGAGCTTAACTACAGGAGTATGAAAAGAAAAAAAGTGATGACCAGGCTTTTGCTTACTTATTATTACCCTGCTGCTGTAGTTCTTAAAAAGCTGATAGTCTCAGGGATGTTTTTGCTGCATCGACAGATTCCAGATGTGTGAAGAAGGTGCTGTATCTAACCAGCTGTTTACCTGATGGCACCACAGTAACAGTAATAATAATTTGAAGAACTGTGGACAGATTATTCTACTGCAAGCAAATCACAGCAATATCAATCAAAGGGTGGCAGATGAACACACAGAACTTCCACGTTACACAGTCAGTAACTACCAACCTGATGAGAAAACCCAGACTCGAGACAACAAATAAAACAAATGTGTAATAATACTGGAAACCCATAATATATTAATTTTAATAGAGAAAACAACATTCAAAGTGAGCTTTCAGATTTAAGAATATGCCCTCAAACCCCACCCTGTTAGCATTTAAGGAGACAACAGCACTTATCAATTAACCTCAAAGACAAACTGTAGCTTCTATTTTATTGCTCTATTGCCTCTGAGTATCATGCCAAACGTTTTAAGCCAGATGAACCATTAAAATACCAACCTCTTTATATTTACCCTGAGGCCACTATCAAAATGACTCCAATGTTTCAGTTGTCTGTCATGCATAGTACTGCATGTGATATTATTGAAAACCTCAGTCATAGGACTTTGAGAAGCTCTGTGTTTTTAATTAATTAACTCAGCATTTGGTTTGCTGCCGTTTTAATGCCAACTTAACATTTGTGCTACACTGACACCACGATGTAGAGGCTGGAACACTCACTTCAGAGGGTTCTCGGGCTGGATCACTTGGTTAGCTGAGGCCTGCCTGTGTGTACACTGAGGCTTCTCTTCCTGTCTTGGTTTCTAAACTAAATTCATTAGTGATTCTAAACGGGCAATTAGTGTAATTCATTTACATAGAAAGAGCTTACTGTAAAGTCAGAAATTTGAGCTTTGCCAGACTTCAAGTACTTCCATGAAAGGGCATGCACTGAAATAATGAATCTTTCTCCACAAATATGCAAACCAGAAGATGGAGCATGTTTAGGACGAATGGGGTCTCTGCCCATGATGGAGTCAGCTCAGAGATGGAGGAAATGTCACATAGCCCATTGTGTTGTTGGATGGTGTCCTCACGTTTGGTGTCAAGAATACAACAGGTCCAGTTCCCACAAAGTGTTTTAGAGTACTATGCAATGCCTCTCTAGAAATTTTAAGTGTAGCCATGATTTGACGATTGCTTCAATCACATTTCTGAAGACATGTTTTCCATTGTCAGTAAGTAATGTCCTCTTGGAAACTTAAGGCAATATATGACAGCTAGACAGGAAAACTGAGCAGTTAATTTGCTTGAACAAGCCTCTGATGGGTCAACTAAACAAGACCGTTTGCCACTAATCAGCTTTAATCTGACTATTTGTTCATCTTGATATAGTCAGTAAAAGGCACATTAAAATCAGTTTGGTACTTGCACTGCTATAATTCACTTCACTGGGTTTGAGTCTGCCCTGGAACATATTCTGTACATCGTACCCTTCACTCTGGCCTTTCTATTAAAGTAAAACAAATTAAAATGTCATAATAAAGAACCAGTTAGAACTGGTTTGACTGCCAAAGCACCACTATAATGTTAATCAACAGTCCCTGATAATGGTAAATATAATTTATTGCAGGCTTCATAGCTCATACAGAAAGTTTAAACCCCCTACAAGCACTGATCATGCAAAAAAGAGAAAAAAAGCCTGAAGCAGAGCCTTGTTTAACTGTTGTCATCTGGTGTGCATATATCAGTAGCTACCATCCAACAGAGAGCACGTGAGTGAGGCCCCACAGGCCACGATGAGAGAATGAATTAGTTTCCGCTTTAAGGACATTTTAATATCTCTTCAGGTGAATTTACACAGTGTCAAAGTGTGAGTCTCACACTGTGTGAGTCTGTGTTTTACTAGTGTTTTCAGGCCCAGCAAACAGTGAAACGGTGACTCCTCCTAATCTGCTTTCATCTAACAGAAAGCCGATAAGATAACAGGATTCATTAGTTGCTGCTTCTGTTGCAAAACAGTGCTTCAAACCCACTAAACAGTACTTAATATAGCTTACTGCTGCCTAATATTTATTTTATAAATATTTCCCAATGCTGCCATTTCCGGGTCCCAATGTCAATCAAACACTGGCATCACTGGGAGCTAAAAACAGCCCAATTTCTTCTTCTTAATGATGCGTGCATCCATGAAAAAGACGTTTTACTGACTTAGAAATCAGCAGGAACTTAGCTTGCTTGTTTCCATTTTCAGTAAAAACCAAAATGCTACAGCTCTGCTATCACTTTGTACATAAGTGAAGAAAACTAAACAGCACCACTGTTTGTAGGATTATTATTCCCCCCTGAGGAAGCATGTCCCAGGGTCTAAAGCGTGCTTTCTGTGAGTCAACGCTGTTATAAGTGACACTAAACATCTAAGCTGTCAGGACCCGTCCTCAAAGCGGACACTGCAGGAGCAGCACAAGGTCTGAGGGCTTGACTCTCTCTAGGCAGCCTGCTTGAATTCAAAATGAATGTGTGCTCACTACATCTGCTGAATGAAATAAAATAGTAATGATGAGGGTTAATATTACATGAATAGACAGGAGTGTCAGCAGGGCACGGCTGATAGAAAGAGTGAGCTACATTTAGAGGCTGTAAAATTAAACTGGAGCTCGTTTTCACCTCTTTTTAAATGATTATATCCCCAACAAGTGCAGAAGGGTACATCAGAGGAAAAGACCAACACCACAAAAAAGAAATGTGAATATGACTGCGTGCACACTGATTCAGACTGCTGCCGTGTGTCCTACAGGCCCAGTAACCTACTGAGGAGTTATGGGGTCTGAGCACAAAGACAAAGGATGGCAGAATCACAGGTAGCTCACCCACTCAAACTGCACATGTGGGGGTAAAAGCCACATTACTGTTCCACACTCTTTTATTCTGCACGAACACAATCCCACCAGCTTCGCATTTCTCCACATTTCTGATTTTGTTGCCATGTCCCAGCTTAACGTTGAGCTTTTACAGATATTCGAGCGTCTCTCGCTGTGACGTTCATGAAGTTGACAAAGAGTGCCGCACGTACAGCGGAGGTCCTTTCTCACTGAGCCGGGCATGCCGGGTTCTGTTAGGTCTGATCTGTCTGTATCGGAACTACATCACAGTCAGCCCCGGCACAACAAGGCACGAGCGAAAGCCTTATAAAGGTACAGCCAGCGGCGTCACCCAGAACCCGCGCCTGTCCGTCACAGCTCTATTAATACCACAGTAACACCGGAGGACACCTCACCTCTACAAATAGCCACAATGTCAGGGCTGCATCGAGCAGTGGATGTCTCATATCTCCGTCGGTAGGAGAGTGGGAGCAAAGCTCCGCTCGTGGACAGGAGGACGCGGGGGGATGCTCCGTTATCACTATGTCGGTTTCATCCCGCTGGCGGACACAGACAGCAGATCCAGTCGGTTTGACAGGACGGATGAAGGCAAACCGGGCGACGGTCAAACAGACCAAAAAGGGAGATTAAATGGCATGATGGGAAGCTGCATTAGCCTGTGATGTTGGTTTATTCCACGCCCCTTTCCCAGCCCCCCACCCCCTACTCTGCCTTACAAACACGCACACACACACACACACACACACACACACACACACACACACACACACACCCCCCCCCACACACACACACACATCCTTATTTGCTTTTTTTTCATATACAAATAAATCCATATAATACATTGTATATCTGCATAGCATCCACATAATTACACTTAATTTGCCTCCACATTTTAAATTTAATTAAAGCTGGCTCCGGTTTTAATTTGTGTAGCTTAGCTGTATTGCACGCCA